CCCCCCCCGCCCCTGCCCTCTCTCTGTTAGGAAACAAACCGGCGGATTCTGGCCCCTGGAGGTCAAATCCTCCGTCTCTCCTCCCCAGCGGGGGCCGGCGGTACCTCCCCCGAGGCGGAGCTGGGCTGTCGGCTTCCCCAGCTGGTTTTTTAAGCCAGCCGGTTGTCAATACAGCATCGAGGGAAGCTGCCGCTCCTGTCCCAGCTCCGAGGATGGGTTAGTACCGCTGAGATCGAATCTGCATTTGCATTTTTAAATCAGTTTTGTGCTGCTGCGACGCCGTCTTTCTCTGTGCCTGTCTGAATGTTGTTTGGAGAAGATTCTTTTAAAGCAGTGGGTAGGCACAATGACAGCGGAGCTGCCACGCAAGGGCAATAAACATATGCGGACGTGCAAAAGTATGCTAGCACTCTTGAGGTGTGAAAACGACACCAAATGCAGTCAGCTTTTTTGAAGACGGAGTCAAAAGGGGATGTTGCCTCCTGGCTCAACATGAGCGTGTGTGTTCTTGTCTCTGCTTCCTACCCCCTTGGTGGTCTTAGGGCCAAGCCACTGTTCTCTCAGCCTCCCTCACAGCCAAGGATGATAGCGCCGGCCCAACACTGGCCCGCCTTGCAGGGCTGTTGGGAGGATCGCTGGGGTAACTTGTGTAGAGATTTGAGACTTGCCGTAGAAAGGTTTGTGGCTCCGAATCGGCAAAATGGCTGTAATTGTCGGTGTGTCTATATCTGTATAGGGGCTGCGGTGGGTTGGAGGTTAAGACGCTGAGCTGCAGACCGGAAGGTCGGTAGTTCGGCAGATCGAGACCCGGGTGCCGCAAGACGGAGCGAGCTCCCGTTGTCCGGCCCCAGCTCCTGCCAACCTAGCAGTCCGAAAGCAAGAAATGGCAAGTAGATAAATAGGTGGGAAGGGAAGAGCGTTCTGTGCACCTCGGCGTTTAGTCATGCCGGCCACATGACCACGGAAAACGTCTTCGGACAGCGCTGGCTTTTCGGCTTGGAAATGGAGACGAGCACCGCCCCCTAGAGTCGGATTCAACTGGCTTTCGAGCGAGGGAAACCTTTACTTTTACTATATCTGTATATGTGTTTAGAAGAAATTTAGAGTCCAGTGACACCTTTAAGACCGACAAAGGTTTATTTGAGGTATGAGTTTTGTGTGCAAGGCACACTTTTCCATTTGAAGAAATGCGCATGTACACGAAGGCTCAGACCTCGAATAAACCTTTGTCGGTCATAAAGGTGCCATTGGACTCTAAATTTGTTCTACTGCTTCAGACCAACATGGCTGACCACTTGGATCTATGTATATGTCTTTATTTTGTTACTGCCCTACCTTTGTCCCTGATGAGGGACCCCAGAGCAGCTCACAGCATCCTCCTCCATTTTTATCCTCACAACAGCCCTGTGAGGTAGGCGAGGCCAAAAGCATGTGACCAGCCCAAGGTCACCCAGCATGTCATAGTGGGGATTCGCACCTGGGTCTCTCCTACAGATCGCAGCTGGAGAGAGAGAGCCAGGCTGTCACAGCGGTGAACGTCAGTGGGCATTTGTACAGGAGAAAAGCCTTCTGAGGTAACAGGTAGCGCCGTTCTCTTTCCCGGTTTCAAACCTGTTCCTGGCTGCAACTCCTTATCCCGGATTACGGTGGTTGGTCAGGCTAGAGTGTGGCAGCATGCCAAGAAGCTGGCTCATATAAACATGGATTTTCGTTATAAGCTGGGGTTTATAAGCTGGGGAAGGGGTTGTGGCTCAGTGGAAGAGCTCCTGGTTCTTATGTCAGTGCTTGCAAAAGGTCCCAGGTTCAATCCCCGGCATTTCCAGTTAAGGATCGGGTCGTGGGTTACACGAAAGACCTTCAACTGCGACCCCCGAGAGCGGCTGCCAGTCCGAGCAGGCAATACCGACTTGGATGGACTAAGGGTCCAATTCGGAATAAGGCAGCGTTGTGTGTTCCTGTGTCCCCAACGTGGCGCCCACCCACACCGTTTCTAGCGCCTGCCAAGTGTTTTTAGAAAGCGGGCGGGGCTCTAACCCAGCAAGATTTCTGACCGGCCGCCAGAGATCTGATTGGCTGTGCAGGTCTTTTTTTTAAAAAAAAAACATGTTGCTTTGGCGGCAGCTGCCGCCATTGCACGAGGATCTTCACCGTCTAACTGTAGGCAAGCTGGGGCAACCATTTTGGAGCTGGCCCCGCCTCCTGCAGCTGCTATTTTGCGGCAGCCATTTTGGTGTTTGCGCCTGCCAGGTTGCATCAGAATTCCAGCGGTGCCCACCGGCTCAGAAAGGTTGGGGACCCCCGTTATGAACAACGCCTGCTACGTTCCAGGGACCCCCAGCCTGTGTAAATGGAGGCGGTAAAATCAGGGATCGACAGGTGCCCCACCAGGATGGAGGCCTTGCTTCAGAAAGGATGTGGACGGAATGGAGCGGGTGCAGAGGAGGGTGACGAAGGCTCTTTTTGCAGCAGGAACTCCTTTGCCTATCAGGCAACACACCCCTCACGTAGCCAATCCTCGAAGAGCTTACAGTGGCCCCCCGTAAGAAGAGCTCTGTAAGCTCGTGGAGGATTGGCTACATGAGGGGTGTGCCGCCTGATAGGCAAAGGAGTTCCTGCTGCAAAAAGAGCCCTGCTGGCGACGAGGATGATCAAGGGCCTGGAGACCAAGAAGCCCTGTGAGGAAAGGCTGAGGGACTTGGGGATGTTCGGTCTGGAGAAGAGGAGGTTGAGGAGGGACAGGATCGCTCTCTCGAAGTATTGGAAGGGCTGTCACTTTTAGAGGAGGGCAGGGAGCTGTTCCTGTCGGCAGCAGAAGATATCGGACTTGCAATCATGGGTTTAAATTGAGGGCCGAAAGGTACCGGCTGGATCTGAGGAAGAACTTTTTGATACCAAGAGTTGGGCGACAGTGGAATCGGCTGCCTAGGGAGGTGGTGAGCTCCCCCTCCCTGGCAGTCCTTAAGCAGCGGCTGGACAAATCCTTGTCAGGGATGCTCTAGGCCTGGGGTGGCCAAACTTGCTTAGCGTAAGAACCACATAGAATAAACGTCAGACGTTTGAGAGCCACAAGACATGAACAAAGCTGACACGTTTCTACCGGGAAATATGCAAAGTTGCTTTTTATGAACATTAAACGAGACGGCCAAAAGTAATAACAGAAGCGGTAAAAGCAGATATTGATAATCAGGGGTCATTTCGTAGAAAAAGAGGTGCAGGAGCTCATTAGCATAGCTCATAAGCATAACTTATTTGCATACGCCACACCCCCTGACATCACTGGAAGCGTGTCAGAAGGCAACACCCACCGCTCAGGCTACACTGGACTGTTTGGGATTGCTAGCTATTGGGGGGGAGGGATGTGCAGATCTGCCCTCGCAGAGGAGGGAGAGCTTGTACCTGAATAAAACTTGGTCTTAAAGGTGCCACTGGACTGTTTTGGGCCGGGAGGCTCTGCAACTTACCTGGCTGCTTCTTCCTCTGACTGAGGGCTGCTGGGAGCAGGGGGCGGGGCTTGTTGCATGTGCCCGCCCCCTGGGCTCTTTACTGCCGGAGCTCCGCTCCTGTGCGCTCCTGCAGGAAGTGACCCCTGTTGATAATGATATTTATTTGTCCAATGATGATTTGTTTGCGAATGATCTTTAGCTTCCCCAGCCGCCCTGCCGGGAGCCGCACAAGATGTGTGAAAGAGCCGCATGCGGCTCCCGAACCACAGTTTGGCCACCCCTGGTATAGCCTGACCCTGCATTGAGCAAGGGGTTGGATGGCGTCTATGGCCCCTTCCAGCTCCATGATTCTGTGCGTTAACAGGGCGAGCACCGGGCATTTAAATCCCAGCCCATGCGCCCCCAATCTCATCTCCCTCTCCATTTAGGGTCTGTTTCCTCCGCCCCTAACTCCGTCTCCCCCTTCACAGGCCCCCCTCACGTGGCCGCCATGGACTCTCTCTTCCAGACCCTGCACTCCCTGGCGGAGGACAACGCCGCCTTCTTCCAGAACCGGGCCACGGAGACGAGCCAGCGCTTCGTGGCGGCCTTCACGGCCATCCGGGAGCACGCCCGGTACCTGGAGCCCCTCCTCGGCCACTTCGCCACCGTCTACCACATCTTCGACCTGGACGAGGACACGCCGGCCAACGGCTACCGCAGCCTGGCCCAGACGGTGCGCTGCTGCCTGGCCCACATCGTCCACAAGAGCCGCTACGTGGCCGCCAACCGCGGCAGCATCTTCTTCCGCAGCAAGCACAACTGCGCCGAGCTGGAGGCCTACTGCACCGCCCTGACCCAGCTGCGGGCCCTTGTCTACCTGGCCCAGCGCCTGCTGACCTACAACCGCCCCGGCTGCCTCTTCCACCACGAGGAAGGGGGCCTCTCGGAGCAGTTCCTGCACGAATACATCACCATGCACAAGGGGTGCTTCTATGGTCGCTGCATGGGCTTCCAGGTAAGGGAGGGGCGAGGGCGGGCAGACTCCGGCGGGGGTTTATCCTCCCTGTCCAGCCAGGGCCTGAGAGCCAGTTTGGTGTAGAGAGAACCGGGTTTGATTCCCCACTCCTCCACATGCAGCCATCTGGGTGACCTTGGGTCAGTCACAAGTTCTGTCAGAGCTGTTCTCTTCAGCAGTTCTCTCAGAGCTCTCTCAGCCCCACCTACCTCACAGGGTGTCTGTTGTGCGGAGAGGAAGGGAAAGGAGTTTGTAAGCCACTCTGAGACTCCAGAGTGAAGGGCAGGGTATAAATCCAATTCCCTCCTCTTCTTCCTCCTCCTCCTCCTCTTCTTCTTCAGAATTACTTCTGTGGGACCTAGGCCTTTTTGCCTTCGTGGGCCCCTCCCACCCTAATAATATCAATATTAAAATTATTGATTTTTTTAAAAAAAATATTTTTGAACTGTAATAATATATCCCCACCCCAAAGGAAAAAATATATAGCATTTGCGTATCAGAAAAGGGGAGAAAAAAGGAGAGTCTTACCTATATCTCTCTAAAATAATTGCTGAGATAACTTTGAACTACGGCAACGTTTTATTTTATTTTTCTGCTTTAGGGAAAACGTAAACGATTTTCGCGGGCACGAAACGTCTCATTCTTTTCTGGGGCGAGGGGGAAAAAATGAAAGCGTTTTCCTCGACTCTAAAAGTTAATTGCTTTCCTTCTGACTGTAGAAGAAATGAAAACATTCTCATGGGCCCCTCAAAGTATCGTGGGGCCTAGGCGCTGTGCCTCTTATGTCTAATGGATGAGCCGGCCCTGGTGTCCAGCAATGCGGCGTAACCCATTTGTTAAGTCGCTCGCTTAACAAAGTAGTCGGAGAGTGATTCAGCAAAGATTCAGCTTTATTTCACAACTCGAACACGGATCAACATCTGATAGCCAGAACAGCTTTTACATTGCAGCTGTCCTGCTTTTAAACTCTCCCGGCTAATGTAGCCACGCCTACTGTACAATTACCAACCAATAAGGGTGTATGCGTAAGGCAATCACGGACATTCCCGCTCAGGGAGCTTGTTGATAGTGATTGGTTAGGTGCTTCCTGGGCTAGCAATGTGATTGGATATATTTGGATCCTAGCCCAGGACGAAGCTTAACATAGCATTTCAATTAGATGTTTTCATCACACATTATGTATTCAGTGGCAGCTTATTGAATACAGTACACCATTCCTCCACACGGCCTTTGCTTCTCCCCGTCTGCCCCCAAACTGTCCTTCTTTCAAAAAGCTCGGTTAGGGTTTTTTCCTCCCCCGGTTGGCCCTTGAGCTTGTGTCTATTCTGTGTGGCGCTGGCCTTTGGCTCAATCCCCCCCCCCCGAGTCCTCATTCCTCTCTGCCCTGATGCCTAAAACCATACCAAGACGCGCTTCCTTTCCTCCTGCTGCCTCTCACCCTGCTGTACGTCCAACCTCAGTTTCAGTCGGTGCAAGGACCTAATAGGTTGATAGGCAGGGGCCGTGGCTCAGCGGGAGAGCCTCTGCTTGGCATGCAGAAGGTCCCTGGTTCAATCCCAGGTGTCTCCAGTTAAAAGGATCAAAGGTAGAGCATCTACGTGGTATACAGAAGCTCCCAGATTCAGTCCCTGGCATCTCCAGTTAAAAAGGACCAGACAGTCGGTGATGGGACAGATTTCTGCCTGAGATCCTGGAGAGTCGTGGCCAGTCTGAATACACAAAACGGATTTAATATAAGGCAGCTTCATGTGTTCATTTGTTAGGGAGGGGCCGTGGCTCAGTGGTAGAGCCTCTGCTTGGCATGCAGAAAGTCCCAGGTTCAATCCCCGGCATTTCCAGTTGAAAGGACCAGGCAGGAGGGGATGTGAAAGGCCTCCGCCTGAGACCCTGGAGAGCGGCTTCCGATCTGAGTAGACAATTCTGATGACGATCAGTGGTCTGATTCAGTAGAAGCCGGCTCCCGTGTGTTCATTTGTAAGCGAGGGGCCGTGGCTTAGTGGCAGAGCCTCTGCTTGGCAGGCAGAAGGTCCCAGGTTCGATCCCCGGCATCTCCAGTTAAAAAGGACCAGACAGTCGGTGATGGGACAGATTTCTGCCTGAGATCCTGGAGAGCCATGGCCAGTCTGAATACAGAAAACGGATTTAATATAAGGCAGCTTCATGTGTTCATTTGTTAGGGAGGGGCCGTGGCTCAGTGGTAGAGCCTCTGCTTGGCATGCAGAAAGTCCCAGGTTCAATCCCCGGCATTTCCAGTTGAAAGGACCAGGCAGGAGGGGATGTGAAAGGCCTCCGCCTGAGACCCTGGAGAGCGGCTTCCGATCTGAGTAGACAATTCTGATGACGATCAGTGGTCTGATTCAGTAGAAGCCGGCTCCCGTGTGTTCATTTGTAAGCGAGGGGCCGTGGCTTAGTGGCAGAGCCTCTGCTTGGCATGCAGAAAGTCCCAGGTTCAATCCCCGGCATCTCCAGTTAAAAGCGCCAGGTAACAGGTGATGGCAAAGACCTCAGCCTGACACCCGAGAGAGCCACTGCCAGTCCGAATAGGTCATACCGACCTTGATGGTCTGATTCAGCATCAGGCAGTTTCATGTGCGTTCGTGGGCTATCGCCGCAGTGCTGCCTAACAACATAAGAACCAGGAGCTCCCAAAGCATTCTGGGAAAGGCAGAGAACCCCTTTTCCTTCCCGTGCTCCTCGTGGGGAGAGGCGTGCAGATGCCGCGCGGTTTGCGCCAGTCTCCATTGGCCGTGCGATCCCCCACCCACCCGAAAGCAGAGGTTATCTGGATGTCTTCCGAAAGAGGAGCCGTGACGTATCTCCGGCAGGGGCCTCCCCGGGGTGGCAAGCCGGGCTTGGCTTCCCCCTTCCCCACCTTCCACTGGCAGGCTGCGGCCTTGGCAACGTGACCCTGAGCTGACGTGATGTGTGTCCCCTTCAGAACTCTCCCTCCGAGGCTCTTCCCAGCCGTCATCTGGCTGGCGGCTGAGCCGGAAGGTCCGCGTCCGTCCAGGGTCTTTGCTGGCAGGAATGTGCCAGAGAAAATTTGGGGAGCAGCGACAGGAGGCGTGCGCTGTCCTCTGTGGGACCCCTGCACATTCAGTATTGTGCAGTTCTGGATATTATAGCTTTGGGAAAAGTGCAGAAAAGGGCAACTCGAATGATAAAAGGGTTGGAACACTATGAGGAAAGGTTAACGCGCTTGGGGCTCTTTAGCTTGGAGAAAAGACAACTGAGGGGTGACATGATCGAGGTTTATAAGATTATGCATGGGATAGAGCAGGTAGAGAAAGAGGTACTTTGCTCCCTTTCTCACAATACAAGAACTCGTGGGCACTCCATGAAATTGCTGAGCGGTCGGGTTAGAACGGATAGAAGGAAGTCCTTCTTCACCCAAAGAGTGATTAGCACATGGAATTCACTGCCACAGGAAGTGGCGGCGGCTACAAGCATGGACGGCTTCAAAAGGGAATTAGATAGGCATCTGGAGCAGAGGTCCATCAGTGGCTATTAGCCACAAGGTATAGATAGGGACTCTGGGGCAAGTGATGCTCTGTCTTCTTGGTGCTTGGGGGGTCAACAGTGGTGGGGCTTCTAATGTCCTGGCCCCACTGGTGGACCTCCTGATGGCACCTGGTATTTCTGGTCACTGTGTGACACAGAGTGTTGGACTGGATGGGCCTTTGGCCTGATCCAACATTGGCATCTCTTATGTTCTTATGTTAGTATTAAGCCTGAAAGGCCTTTGCCGCCTCCTCTGTGTGTTTCAAGCCATCCCTCTGCCTCGGGCCCCCCCTCCCGGGGGGGTTATTCGGAACTCATTCCAACATAGGGTTGCCAATCTCCAGGTGGTTATGCAAACGTGAGATCACGGGATAGGTTCTAAGCAAACAAAACATAAGCACAGAAGAGAAGCCAACGCGGGATCAGGCCAATGGCCCATCTAGTCCAACACTCTGGGTCAGACAGGGGCCAAAAATACCAGGGGCCATCGGGAGGTCCAGCAGTGGGGCCAGGACATTAGAAGCCCTCCCACTCTTGCCCCCCCCCCCAAGCACCAAGAACACAGAGCATCCCTTGCCCCAGACCGAGAGCTCCTATCTAGACCTGGCGGCTAATAGCCACCGATGGACCTCTGCTCCATATGCTTATGTCAAGCCCACCCTGCGCCCCTGGTGCAGCGCCTCCCGTGGCCGTCCGAGGCGTCGTCGTCGTTGTTCCTGGGAGTCGGGATGCTGAAGGTGGGGGGAGCGTCGGGGCCTCAGATGAGCAGGGGACGGGGTTGACCCTCTGCCGTCGTGCAAGGTGCTGTCCATTGGTTCACTCTGGCTCTCTCTCTGTCTTCGCCTTCGCACGTTTTTCCTCTTCCTCGGCCCCTTCGCTTTCCCCTCCTTTTATTCCCTTCCCGGCTCCCAGCACCGCCCTCTTCCCTGCCACTTCCCCCTTTCTCCCGGCCCCGCCCCCTGTAATAAGCCTGGGCGCTCCCCCGGCGTCTAGGGTGTGGCTGGAGCTGGGCTGGCGGTGGTCCTGTCGGCTCAGGGGCTGCGCCGGCGGCGGCGTGTGGGGTGCTCCAAGGTTGGGCGCCAGTCATCAGCCTCTGCATGGCAGCGCCTGCGTTGCCACCACCCTGGCTGGTTCCTCGGAGCCCTCGGTTCTGTGGCCGAGCCCGGCCAGAACGTGGTGCCTCCCTGGCGGGGCCAGCAGCTGGTGTGTCGCATTGTCTTGGCTTCGGTGCCCGTCCTGGTGTTGGTTCTGTTTGTGTGGGGAATGCTCCGGGTGAGTCTGTTGACCAGGGAGTGCTCGGGGCGCGTGGGCAGAGGCCCGAGACCTCTGGACCGGGACAGTTTATCTATGGAACCGTGATAATTATTATGCAATCTATTCAATAAGTATTACGATAATTATTATCATAGTGATATTATGTTATGGTTATCATTATCATAGTGATATTATGTTATGATTATCATTATCATAGTGATATGTTATAATTATATTGTGTTATCATGTTATGATCGTTATTATCAAGCATTTATACTTTGGTGCAAATGACAAAATGCATTCCAATGCAAAATATTTTTAAAAGTAAAGGTAAAGGTAAAGGTTTTCCCTTGCTTGAAAGCCAGCCGAATCTGATTCTAGGGGGCGGTGCTCATCACCGTTTCCAAGCCATAGAGCCAGCGCTGTCCAAAGACGTTTCCGCTGTCATGTGGCCGGCATGACTAAATGCCGAGGCGCACAGAACGCTGCTACCTTCCCACCGAAGTGGTACCTCTTTATCTACTTGCGATTACTTCCTTTCGAACTGCTAGGTTGGCAGCAGCTGGGGCCAGAGACGGAATCTCACTCCATCACGCAGCACTCGGGTCTCAAACTGCTGAGCTACATACCTTCCGGTCTGCAGTTCAGCGTCTTAACCTCTGAGCCACCGTGGCCCCTAATTCAAAATATACAAATGTTTAAAGTGTCCTTGTGAACCAAACTGTCCTTGCTCAAAGTTCCTCTGAAAAATACAGCTCAAAGTAGTCCTTCTTTGACATGGAGGTAAAATATTCCAACTATCTGATCAGCTGTCATGGCTGATCAGATATTTGGAATATTTTACCTCTGCGTCAAAGAAGGACTGTGTTAAGCCACTTTGAGCTGTATCATTCAGAGGAACTTTGAGTACGGGCAGTTTGGTTTACAAGGACGCTTTAAAATGCTAGTATTATTTTGCACCGGCATGTGTTTTGTAATAGGTACCATGATATAAATGCTTGACAATAATCCTTGAATAGATGGAGGAGGAGGAGGAGGAGGAGGAGGAGATTGGATTTATAGCCCGCCCTTCACTTGGAGTCTCAGAGCGGCTCACAAACTCCTTTCCCTTCCCCTCCCCACAACAGACGCCCTGAGAGGTAGGTGGGGCTGAGAGAGCTCTGACACAAACTGCTCTTTTTCAAGGACAGCTGTGCCAGAGCTTGTGACTGACCCAAGGTCACATCAGCAGGTGCAAGTGGAGGAGTGGGGAATCAAACCCGGTCCTCCCAGATTAGAGTCCGCACACTTAACCACTACACCACACTGATGTAATGATATCACCGTTGTTTTTTTGTTTACTTCAACCTCCAGGTGGTGGCTGGAGTTCTCCTGGGATTTAACTTTTAAGCTTAAGTGTGTTAAATTTTAAACCCCCGCTCTCTTTGCTTCCCTCCCCCCAGCCCGCCTTGGCAGGCTGGCTGGGGAATGGGAGGCTTTTGAAGATGCCCCCCCCTTTCGCTTCCCCAGCTGGCCTGCTAAGGTGGGCTGGGGGAGGGAAGCGAAAACAGAAGGGGTTTAAAGTTTAAACCCCTTCTCTCTGGTGTCGCGCCGCTGCTGTGGCGGGACTCTAGAGAGAAGAAGCTGGGGAGCAGGGAGCTGGGGGTGGGGCTTGACGCCACCACCATTTGTGCCCACTCCTGGGCTCCCGGGAGTGGCGCTCCGGCGCGCTCCGGCCCCAAACGAACCTTGGTTGTAATGCTAGATCTCCAGCCACCACCTGGAGTTTGTAAATCCGACGACAACATCTGTGACAAAAATAACGAAGAGTCAATAAAGATATGTTGCAAAATCGTTTACTGTGATAAGTCTGTAGAAAATTCTCTTCTGTTCTCGCTCACACGCTAATGAATGCTGCGCAATGCAAACAATTCGTTTCACAAGATTTGCCTTATCTGAGCGTGTACCAATCACGATTCTTATCCATTACGACTTACCAACTCTTGAAGGAAACATGCCGTGTTGACTCTCTAATAACAGAACCCAAGGTCTTCGTTAGCGTGTGAGCCCCACTGCGGCTACAGGCCTGCCCCACCCTCCTCAGGGTCTACCCCAAAATTTCCAGGTCTTTCTCAACCAAGAGCAGGCCGGCGGGAGTTGTGGGGCGTGGGCCATGAGTGAGAGGGCACTGCCCCTAAATGCCCCACTGTCGCTACGGACCTGCCTCACCCCCCTCAGGTTCTACCTCCAACATTTCCAGGTATTTCTCAATTTAGGAGCAGGCCACCCTATTCCAAAAAGACCCTTTATGGGTCAGTGCTGGCTGCCGACGGCTCCGGCTCAGAACGAACCACCCGGGGATGGAATTGGGGGGGGGGGCAGCGCCTCTCCTCTAACCTTCCCTTCTTCTCCTTTTGCCTCAGTTCGCCCCCTCCATCCGGCCCTTCCTGCAGACCATCGCGATCAGCCTCATCTCCTTTGGGGAAAACTACAAACGGCACCAGTCCGGCCTCAGTGAGTAAGGGACTCCGGGAAACGCCCCGGGCGATTCACGAATGGCCCGTCGTGCCCAGCCAGCACCACAACGCCTGTCCCTCCCATGACACACCTCTTGGTCCTTCCCTTCCCATCAGGCATTGCACCCAGGCGGGAATGGCCGCCTGCTCTGTCAAAACGGCGAGCCTCGACTGCGTCGGGCTTGCCCAGCGGAAACCCCTCTGCAGTATGCCCTGCCTTCACTGTACACCAGGATATGTTTGTCTTAAAGTGACCCGGTGAGGTTTGCTATCGAGTCGCAGGCCGTTTCTTGGACCTCCCAGTCTGCTACTAGCGGTGTGCTTCCCCCCCCCCCTCGCCTTCCCCCTTTTTGTACTTGGGGGCAGGGAGGAATTGAAGTCCAGGGTTGCTATGCAGAGGTAGGCCATGGCGAACAACCTCTGATTGTCTCTTGCCTCATCTTAAATAGCCCAGACTGGCCGATCTCATCAGATCTCAGAAGCTAAGCCAAGCTAGCCCTGGTTTAGTACTTGGATGGGAGACCACCAAGGAAGTCCCAGGTTGCTACACAGAGGTAGGCCATGGCGAACAACCTCTGATTGTCTCTTGCCTCAT